AAAATAAAACTGTTATATCTCATTTTATATACTTGTTTACCTTTATTTTAAATAAATTGCTATAACAAGTGACATTCTGTATTCAGAACGACACATACCCTTTGATCACATGATGTATGACCATCTACAAAAGTGGGGACCTCGCAGAGAAGAAGTAAAATTTTTTCTCCGACATGAAGAATCCCCAACAGAAAGCAATGAACAGGGTACGTACTCTTTTATTCTAAAGTGTTTGTTGCTGGCGTAAGTCCTTTCTTGACACACCCACACACATGCTTGCTTTCAGTTCCCTTTTTTATAAAACAAACTCTCCAATTAAGGAGAGGGTGAGGCTATTTTAACCCTCCTTCCCAGGAAGTACCAAAACTCTGGATCCCAGGAGAGAAAAAATGCCTGTTCACTCCACATGGTGAGTTCACTCTTCCACATGCTGTGTCAAGGATATAACTTATGTGCCCCAACTTTTATCAGTTCAAATAAAATCTCCCAATATGATGACAAAGCAGTGTTGGTGATTATTAACTAACTCTATAGGTAAAGTTATTTGCAAGCATTTCTATAGATAATGATCCTTAAAGAGATATATTCCACTGCATCCCATCCTTCTTTATGAGGAATGGGCAACCATTCCTACATAGTGATGTAGATACTGATGACAAATTACAATAAATGTTTGTTTTTAGTTATTGCAGCTGAAGGTGGTGAGACCAGTTTCTGAACCTCAAGGGGAGATTGTTTTATTTATAATAAGTATTATACCTATTCAGTTATCTGACTCTGAACAACAATCTGATTACTTTTAACCTAAGATTACTTAGATTTTTGGGTTATTTTTTCACATTGTACGATGGATGACTTAGTTTATGAAATAAATTAAACAAATATCAAATAATGGTGTTATTTCTCCACTCATACCCTTTATATATTACTAGGATCCACATTAAACTCGTAATAAAATTCAGTGGGAAAGATACGCAAAAATTCAGAAAATCCAAGAGAGAATGAATACTTTTTCATAGAACTATAAAATTGATTTTAATTCTTACAAGTCAGCTGCTAGTTTTTATTATGGAAAACTTGGAGTGGATGCTTTAAATGAAAATAATCCATCCTTTGTTAACCACTGTGAAACAATGTCAGGATTTACTAATGCTTGACAATGATGATTAAAATGTTTGGGTTTGCCTAATATCTTTCTAACATTTCACTTTTCAAGCAAGTCCTGCTGTTCTCTAAAAATCTCTTACTCTCTTTGGGACTGAATAGTCTACATTTATACAATCTATGTTTAGAATCTCATTTTGCCGTTGTATACCTTTTGCCCACAGTGTAATTACAGGTCTAAAACACTACATATAATCCTGATTTAAACCTGTTTAGTCTACAGTCCTAAGGATGCTTATCTAAAAGCTTTTTTGTTTTGTTTTCAATTGCCAGATTGTGGATTTTCAGTACTTTCAGTACTTTTAGGCCCTAGCAAGCTAATTTCTGCCTCAGTAACATATCTTACTTAAAAGCGGCTAAGGCTTTCTAATTTTTTTCTTATCTAGAAAAAGGAATTGAGCAGGATTTTTCTAATATACAGACAAAAACTTTTTTTTTTTTTGAAGGGATAAGGGCAAACTTAGACATCAAAGAAGTAGGAAAGAGTGGGTTCTTCTTTTGGAAATTACACGTAACGCAGTACCTTTAAATATCCAGTACTAAGACTGAAGATCTCAGAATGACTAAACAAGGAGTAAGACTTAAGAGTCCAATTTTAAGTCTGTCTTCATAAGAAAATAACTGATAATTAGACATTTCTTGGAAGGAAAAAGAACCAAAAAGAATAGCTAATAAGATCTAAGGGCAAATAGTTACCAAGCTGGGGTCCATTTCAAAATATTTAACTAACTTGAAGACTGAAACTGAGGCTAACACATAATCCACTAGGCTGTACCCTTCGTGACATAACAGAAGTGTATTTTCCTATTCCAGCAATGTGGGAGTTTAAATTAAGAATTACAAAATCAGTAGTACTAATAAGCAAACGCTAAAATTAGTAAGTGCTTTTTGAGCTTTTGATTTAATATATCAAGGAGGAGCTCTTAATTTGAAGAAGTGTGTACTCTGTATGAAGATACAGCTTTTGCATATCAACCTAGAGTGGAAATCCTCCTCTGCATCCCACATCTTTGGACATCACACCCACAATAAAGAAAAATAAGTCAATGCATCTGTCAGTCAATACTAGTAACATTGAAAGCCATCTTTAATTTCTTTCCCCGGAATCTTATTACTAACTTATTGTCACTGATCCGCTCTCTAAATTTTAGTTCATAAGTATTATTTCCTTGACATTTGTGCTGTATTTCATCTTCTCTGCAGTTGAGTTTTTAAAGCTTTTATTCTTGGACTTGGACTTTTATTCTTGGATTGTATAAATGTAGACTATTCAGTCCCAAAGAGAGTAAGAGATTTTTAGAGAACAGCAGGACTTGCTTGAAAAGTTACATGTTTCTTGTTCCTATTCATCCTTCTTTTCAGTATTATAACTAAATCAGCCACTTCCAGTATTATTACAGAATGAGAATCTGCAACTGTGCAATGCAAACGAGAAGCCGCAACTTCTTTCATATTGGTGGTTCACTTTTTTATTCAGTCCACATTCATTCAGCACCCATTTATATTTGACCTTGTATTTTCTTGTTTTACCACATATGCTTCTTAAGTACCCCATTATTCCCATTTAATTCAACTTGTATGTTTCTTCTGACACATCCAACTCTCACTTCTGTTTAACATAACCATTATTCACAACAATTTTTGTTTTTTTCAGCATTAATTATTCACAAGACTATATACTACCCAATACATCTCAATGTCATCACAAGCATTTCTCATACATGTATTCATAAATACATTAAACAGCCAAAAGGACATCATGGATTCTTATCTTATTTCCTGTACAATGTTGAACTATTTGCTAAGCATTCTGTTCTCATTTCTTTGCTCAATATTCAATTTGCTTTGTTTCCACTGTATACCAGTATTATTGCATTCACTAATCAACTGTCAACTCCATTTGATCATACACTTTCTCTAAGTCAACAAATGTACAATAAACTTTTTTCTCACATTTATACATTTCTCAGTGACCATACAAAGAGCTAAAATTTAGTCTGCACATCCCTGCCTGGCAAAAAAACTACACTGTGCCTCCCATGTTATGCTCACTGTCACTTTCATACACTTTTTGTCAGAAACCTGAACGAGAGGACATAAGTCTAGTAAATAAAATAATAAAACAAACACAACACACCTACCTCCCAGACATGCTTAATATCCCTGTGTAGCTTTTTTTTAATTGACTCTTACTATCTTTCTCTTTTTTTGGATGCACCACTTAGTATTTGTTTTGATTGTACTCTTCAACCTATCAGTATGATTCCTATACACATCTCTAAAATATATCTTCCAGCATTCCTTCGTATCATCCAAAATAATTTTATCACTTTTATTCTTAATAAAACTAAATAACTAACTTTATTGCAGGCTCCTTGTATAGCCCTCTTCACCCACTTCCAAAACATTTTTATTTTTTAATAATAATTTTTACTAAAATTTAAAAATACAGAGATAAAAAACTAATACAAACTAAGAAAAGTATAAAAAGAATAAAAGAAAGAATAAAAAGTACAAAGGGAAAAGAAGAAAAAATGGGGGGAGGAAAAAGAAAAATATATAAAGAAAAAAGAATATATAAAGAAATGACTTCCCCCTTCATCAGGAGAAGTACAAACAATTCCAGTAATTTATCACCTCCTCTAACATTTCAACCAAAGGTTTCTTCATCCCGTATCTCATTTTTATCTATTAATAAATAATAACACCTCATCATTCAATCTTAATCAGCACAAGTCCATTAAGAGTTACCAGAAATAACAATATATATAGCATTAAACAAATAAATCAATTTCATTTCCTCTACTTTACATAATAACTTATCATTTTCTCTAAAAATACAACAATGTTCTTCCCATATTTTATCTTATATCTATAAGCAAACCTATAAAAACTCATTGTTGAAACTTAGTAAAAAAAATTCCATTAACAGCTACCAGAAAATCGTAATCTTTAAACCTTTCATATAATGTCCCACAAATTAATTTATTATCATTTTATCTTCAACTCTCAGAAATTCCTTTGCAAATTTAACACTTCCAATTTCAACATCATAACCCATCACTTTCTCTAATCATAAACAACAAAAATCTTCTCCCCATATCTTTTCTAATAGCAAATTTTTAAGAACTCGTCATTCAGTCCTGGTCAAGAAAAATCCATTAAAAACTACTAAAAGAAAAAACATCATATAGTTTAACCTTGATTGAACAAACCAACTTTATAATCCTTCTTTTTGGTTTTAAAAGCCTTGATGTTTATTCTTTTTAAATAATGTCCCAAAAGCTGATTTCTTTTCATTCTCTCTTTATCTTTTCTAAGAAACTCCTTCATAAGTGTAACACATCTCTTTTGTAAGTCCAAAATAAGAAAGTTGTCCAAGTCACTCTTCTGTGTTGAAATCCACACATCCAAATCATGAGCTGTTTTCATTTGTAAGTCCTCTGTAGCATCTTTGTCAATATCATTTTTGCATTCTATCATTTTTAAATCTATATCCAAAACAGCCTGATTCTTAGTTCTATCCTCTTCTATCTCTTTAAAACCCATTTTTATAGTAGCAGACAATCTTTTAAGAGAAATTTCTGAGTGCATTGTTGCCAAATATCCTTGAAATCTTCCAGAGTTACTTTTCTCCATTCTGTATTAGTGTGTCTCCTCCTTTAATTGTAGTCTTTAGTTCTTTTAGTTGCCTCTAGTAACCAGCCTTCAAGGTCTCCTTTTATCATGTTTTTCTCTAATCCACACC